CTCGCCGAATGCTTGCTTCTGCACTCATCTCAACAAACCGTGACCGAACAATCTGCCTTAAAACGTTCTGCCTAATTGTAAGCACAGCTTGCTTATTAGGCAAAATATCCATTAAAAAACCATCCGTTAGGTAAACTGTTCCTAGGCAAAACGTCTTCTTTAGGCGAATTATCCGGGTACCATATTAAACATTTGCAAATTTTCATTATTTTTATCCAACCAAAACGCTTACGACATTGCATAACAGTCATATTACTCAACATGTGTACAATTACGGACTTTTTTTGATGACTATATCAATTTTATTCAATTCTTAACACTGTTTGCTAAATGAACACGACAACTCCGAACCGAAGACTGCATTTAAAGCATCCACTGATTGTGACCAAATTGCTATTGACGTGACTACTATAATAACTATAATCCTGAACTCGCTCACCTTTCTAGCAGATGCTGAATGCGATAGTTTCGGTGTAACCGTTTCACTACTGGGCGCTGCTGGTACGGCTGTGATCTGTGAATTTTGTTTACGTGCAACTCGTTTCACTGTCGTATAAAACAGCTGTGGATGACGTGCACAGAGCGGTGCCAGAGCACGCATTGCGTGCATCCAATCACGCGTACTTCGAGGCATTCTGAATGAGGTGCAAAATGAACAAACACATTCACTACAATCCGTTGCTAAATATCCATCCATCCACCTCATAACATTTCCTTATCTATTTAACCAACTTTCCGCACATCACATCATTCATTCTCATCACAACTCTATGAAGAATTCTCGATATGAAGCTAACTCACTAGATGTGATGAGTTAAACCCTTTCAACTAAAACGCCGCATGCACTTCCCATTCAATGCCATATAACATACTTGTCTTTAAGCAAATGCTACAACTAGAACAGGAACAGGAAAACTATTACAGGAAGTTAAAAACTCAAAAAAAAAGAAATATTTCAACAACAACTACAACAGATGACAGATGAATGAATGAATGAATGGAATGATGATGATAAATCTCTCAAGAAACAACCTATGATGCCATCTCGACGATGACGTCCTCAGATTATAACCTCCAGCTGCGACCGTTCGGATTGTTTTCTCGAATATTTGACTCAATGCCGTCTCATCGTCAATACAGTGACGAATAATCAACGCAATCAGCAATGCCCTTGTTGGTATCGATGACCCAGGCAGATTCAGCAGGGCCTTTATACCACCATCCTTGAATACATATTCCCATTAACATTTGCTCACAATCAATAACCCTTAATGTCAAGGAAATATAGTGGATACTAATCAAATACAATGACAAAAACAACAAACTTGTAACATTTTGACTGCCACATCAAAGTTACGAGT